GGTGTGTTTGTAAATATGAGGTTCCCTGTGCTATCAAATTCCAGACAGCAACATTAATTTAAATTATTTTTTCTGCAATATCCTACAATGATGTCCTGATTTTGTGGTTCTAAATCTAGATGGAATCAGTCTGACTCTCTTGCATTGGAATTTAGTTAACATCCTTTAATTTTTCCTGGAACACATCAAAATTTTTCAAGATTAGACTTTTACAGGTAAAATGGATACATTTGAAATTAGCTTATCCTATTTAGTTTCACAAAAATAAACTTACTCTCTTGCTTTTCATAAGAACTATGTTAAAATACTTCAATATATTTAAAATATATTAATTAGAAGGGTAAAATGTTTTAAAGTAATAACACGTGATATTTAGATGGGATAATTCATTATAGGTCACCTCTAAATAATCCCTAAGTGGACTGAATTCCTTTGCAGAATGCATGTCTATAGAGTAATCCAAGGAAGACAGACAAGCCTCTTGTCCTTTGTGGCCTTAATCCATTGCCTGGAGCAGGAAAGGTGCCCAGGATAAAGAGGGTGGGAATCAGCAAAACCAACAACATTTCTGGATTTGATTTTCTTAACAAAACTAATTGATCAGTAGGCTTGCAGGAACTGACAAATACAATAAGGTCTGTTTGACAAATCAATCTAATGCAGTTGAGGGTCCTCTTCCCCTCCCCCTCCTGCCCCTTTAAGCCTTCCTCCTCCGACATTCACACAAAGGGGGTGGGGGTCCTGTTATCTCTTTATTCCAAAGACTATGAAAGTTGTAAAAACACTTCCATAACTTCTTATGAAAACTTAAAAGTACTTTAGGTAAGTGCTAATGTTTTTTTCATTGTGAAGCTCACTCTCCCTTTTCTGCCAAGAAATTTTCATATTGAAAAGAAATTCTCTTGTATTTCAAGTGTTTAGAGGCAGTAGTCAGTAGGATCTGGCAGAGAAGGTTGGACGGCAAAGGTTAAGTTCTCTCTTTTTAATTTTTATATAAGTCTTACTCTAAATATTATAATACCATGAGCTTTGAGGAACATAGAAAGAAAATTAAGTGTCAAAATTTAGACAGTGCAGATAATGTCAGTACTTCACAAAGGATTAATGGTGTTGGTGCCACTGTGATTACACAGAGAATAGTTACCATTCACCAGCTCATGAGACACAGGAATACCTTATTTGTTTTTTGTTTTTTGTTTTTGTTTTTGTTTTTTTTTTTTGGACCTTCACACTCAGCAGGGACTTTTCTGAACTTTGTCATCGTCCTCTCCTCTGCCCTGGAAGCCAACGCTAGGGAAGTAGCTCTAATTAACGAGAGGTGGTGCTTTGAGGAGGAGTAAACTCAGCGTTCCAGAAGCTGCAAAATCATAGGTGTTTTTCCATGCTAGGTATCCTTTTGCGAATCCCCTGTTGTAATTTATAATTCTCAGTGGACCTATATTTGTCTTGAACTGATGGTTTAAATGGGCTTTCCTAGGAATTTCTTCACTACACTTGCTTGTAGGGCAGGGGAAGGGGGTGGCTGAGCCCAAGGGGACTATGGGAGGGGAATGACCTCTAAGGAGGTTTTAAAACATTCCGTGGTTAAAGTTACACTGATGAGCGGCTATATATGTATGCATCTACACACACACACACACACACACGCACACACACACACACACACACACATTAAAGCACAAGTTCAGCGGGACGATATAATGAGCATGGGCTGTAAATTTTGTAGGTAGCCGAATTCAGATTTTTTTAAATCAAAATTGCACCCCAAAATGGCTATAAAACAACGCTTTGCCTTGAGAAGTAAATTTATAGCTCCCTGCCTTTCCCAGGCACGCTGGAGGGTTCTGCTCCCGGCTCTAATCTCTGCGAGATGTTTTTTGCATGTGTTGTGTGACAAGAGGGAAGGGGAGTGGGTTGAGCTCGCGTTCGTTCTCCCATTGTCAGCGAGTCTAGTGAGTGTTGGGAAAACCTGTCCGCGGGATCTTGTGTCATCTCTCCCTGCATGTGCACGGGAAAAGTCCGCGTTGCTCAGAGCTCGCCTCTCCCTCTCTCTCCTCTCTCTCTTTCTCTGTTTCCTTTTCATTCTGCTTCCCCGGAGCCGAATGGAGCAGGGAGAGTGAGCAGGATTAGAGTCTGCCACCGGCTATCAGAGGAGCGGAGATAAAAGGAACTGCTTCTTAAGCACTGCCGCAGCCCTTGTTAATTTTTTTTTTTTCTTCTTTCCACACAACAGTTGTGCCTCATTATCCTGTGCCTGGTTCGATTTTTTTTTTTTTTTTTTTTTTGAGGGTTTGAAGTTTCTGTGCTTCAGTGACTGTTAAGAAGAAGAGGTGTTAGTGTTGCCATGAGGTCTTGATTTTCTGCATTTATGAATGAAACTGACCTAAATCACCTGTTACCTCCAGTTTCCAGATTCTTTGAACTTCTCTGGCCGCACAATACAGGAAGGAGGGCTGAAGGAGCTGAGAGACCTCCAGCGACTGCAGCATGGGCTGCTTCCCTGGGGTTGCCTGTCTTTTCTGGGGTGTACTACTTACAGCAAGAGCAAACTACCAGACCGGGAGGAACAATGTGCCCAGGCTGAAATTATCTTACAAAGGTAAAGCTTTCTTTTGCTTTTATTTGGCTAGCTTTGTGGTGCCCCCTCCCTTCGTCCCTTGAACTCCCTCCCAATCCAAACCATTCAACCTTTAGTTTAACCTGAGAAGCCTATGTGATTCTGTGTGAATTTCCTAGGTGATTTAAACACTTTTCATTAAGCAACAAAAAAGCATGTCTTCTGTTTGATATGTGACAATTTAAATGCAAACAAAGAACATTTAATCACACTGAGCTGTGTGCCTCCCCGGGGCATGCTGATCCGTGAATCTTATGATCATTCTTATGTGCTGTTCATTTTTCTCACTTTACTCCTTCTAAATTTTTAAAAAAGACTGTTAATGCAAAAATGGTTTCTTTATAGATATGCATACCTCACCTGTAATAATCATTACAACGAACTGTATTTTCTTAGTTGTAGGCACTAAATGGTTAATCTTCATCATGAATATTCAGTTTGTTCAAATCTGACAATCAGATGCTTAACATAAGCAGTAGATCATGGTTTGCCAAGAGAATATCAACTGGAGAGAACAGACTAGTTTCTCCACAGTGTGTTATGATTGTACAAAAGGCTGTATTTGACTAATTGGTGTAAAACTAGGTTTTGTAATATGCTATTCAATCCCATATGCACATAAGTAAGAATTGAAAGGATGCTATTCTCAAGGGACACAGCTACTTATGTGTGCTTCTTTTGAAAACATATAAATTTAAGAAAGAAAAACCCCCAGATCTATCACATGACACTGTTGTTTAGTTACAGGTTCATGTATGTGTTTGTTTTCAAATGACAATTTTTAAGAAAATATTTGTTCTATACTTGTTTGGATAGATTTCAAAAACTGGAGTGTAAAGTAATAGCAAAATGATTCCT